ATGTTATGATATTACGAAGTACGAAAAGTGCAGCGGCACTGTCTCAATCCTTGAAATGAAATAATTTTGCTATTAGTCAAATTCACTAACTATACTCTGCTGATCACGAGCACGAAAAAACAGCAAAAAAGCCGTATGGATGTCGACTATTCACTGATTTGTCACCTTAGATTGTTCAAACATAAATAACACAGGTTGAACAGACAAAGGGTAACAAAGGGTAAAACATATAAAGATACAAACATATCTCAAAAGGCAACATTACTATAAACATAATAGTAATACATTTGCAAAAAGTTCAAGAAAGTGTTGTACTTTGTACTTCACTTTGCTGTGGTATTTGTGCATTTAGGAGTTGGATAGTAGACAATAATGTACTAAAAATGATTGACAGAGGAAATTAAATCATTTCCCAGCACGGGTGGCAGATTATACATTTTACATCTGATGAATCAGGTGCATCTATTGGCTAAGCTTGTTGTACATATATGCAAATGAGTATAGGAACCAATAATGCTGTAGGGTGTACTAGGAGGGGTGGATGACTGGTTGTAATGCGCTATTTCGTTGTTGTCAGGATGCAGCCTGATATTTGTTGCTTTCTTGGTTGTTCAAATATGGCTAAAATTTGTGTGGTGGGTGGAAGATGTGTTTATTGTTAGTTGAGTCATTGTTTAGACACCCTGCAGCTTGAAATGGTATGGTCCAAATCCAAATTCGATACGGCGGTGTTGACTATCTGTGCGATATAGCGGTGTCGTCAAAATGATTTCTGTTTATTTATTTACTGTTGTAGGTCTTGAGAACTAGTATTTGAATATGATGTCGGGAATAAATGGTAGTCTGAACAAGCTTTATTAATTATTGCTGGCAATATTCCAGTATGAATTGGGAGCAAACTGTGACACCAAATCTAGTCATTGTATTTCTATGATTCTAAAATATTTTTTTTTCAAATGTCTTGAAACAGATTCAAACATAAGGATATGGATTGTAAAATATTAAGATTATATAGTGTCCAACACATTAATTTGTAAATGGTAAATTTATTTTAAAGAATTCAGTGGCAATATTATATTATAAAATAAAATAGAAATATTATGTGTATTTTTGTATGTGGGAACTTGGCTGGCCCACTCAAAAATATAAAAAAGTGAGGTCTGCAGTTCTTTTTTTTTAATTTTTTTATTTGTGAAAAAAAACTGGTATTTTACAGAGTGTAAACAATGAAACACTCACAGCGCAAGGCTAGTTCACCAACATGTCTGTTCTCTTGCTTGAGTGTGAAAGAACATGGTTTAGTAACTACCTCTTATGTTTTAAAATTTTAGAATTTCTTTTATTTGGGAAGGTTCTTCTATAAAAATAGAACAGATATTGATTATCTATATCTATGGATTTATTGGTAAGTGGAGCATACATGAGCGTGCATGACTCTAAAACACAACTTAATCCGGGTCATTCAATCCGTGCCTCTCGTGCATTTTATTATGAAGGAAATAAGAATTCTCATTCATTATAAATATTTCCTATAGTTTATGGCTGTACATTAGCTAAAACCTAAATCTTAATTTCTGGGTTGGGACAAAAATAAACACAACGATGTATTCCCACTTCTCATATATGTTCCTTGATATATTTTCTATACCACAGAATTAAGACAGTTACAAAATAGCACAATTCTCTCTTAAAATGTGTCTACGCTTGAATGAATGTGTCTATGGATACGATCACTATGTACCCCCCGGTATTTCTCACTCGTGTGGCGCCATTTTGAACTTGTGACTTCCTGTATAGCTGAGTGAGTGAGTCGCATATTCGCGATGATGTTAAATTCGTTTGGATTCAGAATTATTAAAATCTCGCGGCACACCATACCCAGCTTTCCAAGACTAAATGTTTTATAAAATGTATTCAACATAAGTCATTTAATTTTTTTCACATTCGTTTATTTTTATACCGGCCGCTTTTATTTACGGCAATAATGAACGACGCCCCAAACACACACAGTAGCAATTTGCAATTAGAATATCCGAACATATAAGTATATTAAATTAACACAATTTAATCAGCAATTTAAAACCTTGTAGAAGTAAAACGTGAATGTAAACCCCTTACAAAACGGGTGTTTTGGAACTGGGTCAGGGATACACGGTATTTTGTAAAAAGAATGTTTATGAATAGGGTTTATGAAATGTGATATCAAACATTAAGTGCCATTGTATGAGAGTGTTTTTACTATAAAGTGTGAATGAGTGTCTATTCGTGTCATGCTGTGCCATTGTCAGTGGATGAAAATAGCTTTTTTCGAACGTATGCATGGGGAACGAGCCGGGATACATTCGACCAACGATACTTCTGCGCAATCGAGTCTGAGCGTGTTCAAGATGGTA